CAGGAAGACAGAGGAAGGGCAGTGGGGGAGAGGAAATCTCAGCAATCACCTTGTGAGTAACGGGCTTGGCCAGAAACCCACCTGGAGGCCCCCGCACCCCGCCTCACTGCAGGTGCAGAGCAGCTACAAGAGGACATGTGAGGAGGAAGATGTGTGAAGAAATGTGCCGTCATGCCTTGCCCTCTGGTCTGGAGGAAGCTCCAAAGATAAGCCCCAGCTCGCTCTTGCCTGGGTACCCTTTTCTGGAGGGCCCTACTCTGCAAACAGGGTGTTCTGTTTCGGAGTGCCCTCTGCTGTCCAGAGCTTAGAATGCAAGCACCAAGGATGCCCATCTTTGACAGAGACACAGGTTCCAACAGCTTTGGTCACATGGGTTTGAGGTACCAGCAGACTGAAGACAGACCTTTAAAAGGCACCTGAGCCCCTGCTCTGGGGCTGGCACTGTGGCTCCAGAGTGAAAAAGGACTTAAGCACAGGTTAACCATGTCTCCCATGGTACACTGTTTCGGAGCGCTCATGACATGGGGTTCCCCGGGGTCCTTGGGCTCTCAAATCCCCCTCCACCCCATCCCCTGGCGGCCTCTGGGCTGTGCAGGGAGGTCACAGGAAACTCCTCAGCCTCCTTGGCCTTGCCCCATACTGCCCTCTACCTGTGCCCAGGTTTCTCAGAGATGGGACCCTCCCACATCACTGTGGGGATGTGAAATGGTGCAGCTGTCATGGAAAACAGCCTGGTGGTTCCTCAAAACTTAAATACAAAGCTACTAAATGACCCAGCAATTCTATTCCTAGGTATCAACCCAAAAGAAATGAAAACATATGTCACATAAAGACTTGTATGTGCACAGTCATAGCAACACTATTTATGACAGCCAAAAAATGAAGGAACCCAAGTAGTGTCCAACCACAGATAAAAGGATACACAAAATGTGGTAAGTCCATACAGTGAAATAATAACCAGCCATAAAAAGAAATGAAATACTGATACACACTATGACATGGATGAACCTTGAAAATACTATGCTGAGTAAAAAAAGCCATACACAAGACAAATGTTCTGTAATTCCAGAACAGGCAAATTTACAAAGTAGATTGGTAGTTCTGAGTCTCCTTTGTTGAATCCTTCTTTTCCCAATCTCTAAAATATAGATGCTCTTTTAAGTTCAGTCCTGACCTTCTTCTTTCCTCTCTACACTTTTCTCGAGTTATTTCATTCATTTCCATGCCTTTATATGGCACCTATATACTGATGGTAAGGATGGTGAGACGACTTCTCACAATTTTGACATGTCATCAGGAGGGATCAGCCTCTGGAGGACATCATGCTTGGTAAAGTAGAGGGTCAGCAAAAAAAGAGGAAGATCCTCAATGAGATGGACTGACACAGTCGTTGCAACAATGGGTTCAAGCATAACAAAGATTGTGAGGATGGTGCAGGACCGGGCAGTGTTTCATTCTGTTGTACACAGAGCTGCCATGAGTCAGAACCGACTCAACGGCACCTAACAACAACATATACTTATGACTCCTAGATTTACATCTTGAACTTGAACCTCTTTTCTGAGCCCTCGAATTATATTTCAAACTACTAGTTGACATCTTACAGACATGGCAAACATAACGTATTCAAAATAAAACTCTTATCCCGCTCCTCGCCCCATAGAAAGCTGTCCCATCTACCTACTCCCATCTTTCCCATCTCAATAAATGGCACCATCATCCACTTTGTAACTCAAACCAGAAGACTAGGAATCATCTTTAACTCTTCTTTTCCCCTTCACCCACAACCTGACACCCAGTCCATCACCAGGATCTGTTTGTTCTGCTATGAAGATGTACATCAAACCCATCCACTACTTCTCATATCCACACCCCTAGCCTGGTCCAGCCACCACCGTCTCTCTCCAGACCTCTGCAGTACCCTCTTGACTGGTTCCCTCTTCCAGCCTCCTCTCCTCCCAATCCCTACACAGCAGCAAGAACCACGTCTTGAAGAAAAGGCAAATGTATGGAGACCAAAGTTTATTAGTGGTTACCAGGGGCAAAAGGGAGGGGGAAAGGAGAAGGGTCTAACAGTGACGGAAAAATCGCATTGATTAAGGGTAGGGTTGCACAGCCAATTATTGTAATTGATGTCAATTGGTTGTACACCTGTAAAAAGTTGAACTGGCAAAACCAAACAAAAAACAAAAAACTTCTTGTCACTCCCTCATTTAAAACACCATAAGCTTCCCACTGAACCTAGAATTCAGTTCACCTTTTTCCCAGGGCCTATGGGGCTCCATCTTCTCTGGCATCTGAACTCTCCAACCTCACGTCCCCATCCTCTCTCCCCCTCAGAGTGCTCTGGCCAGTTCAGTTCCTTGAGCACACCAAGCTCTTCCCTGCCCCAGGGCATTTTTGTTTGCTGTTCTCCATGCCTGAACTGCTTCCATCTGCCAACCCCCAGCTCCACCCAATTTCCAGCATGAAGGGTTCCTTCTCACTCTTCAAGTCTCAGCATAAATGTTCCCTCCTCCGTGAGGGCTCCTCCAACACACCTGTAATTGTTCCCACCCCCACCCAAAATCTTCTCTCCATCAGCCCCTTCAGTGCATGTATTAAACCTTTTATTTTGTATTTGCTTGTTATCTGTCTTCCTCACTAGAATGTGAGCCTGTGAGGGGATGGGTCATGATCACCATGGCATCCCCAGGACACACAGATAATCAATAGTTATCCGTCAAGTAGACCTCTGGCTTAAGGACAGTAGGTTGGATCTAGGCATTAACCCCTGCTCCCTCTCAAATAACAGTAAATAACAGTAAAAGGACATTTTAAATGCATAAACCCACTACAAGGACCAAGAACAGGAGTCGACAGTCACATTTTGGAATCTGGAAACTGATGTACAAGTGGTAATTCTCTTAGAAAATTCAAGAGAGCAGTTCGTAAGTCGTAAGAGGCAAAGGTCAAGAAGAGCCTGATTATTCTGTGGAAACCTACAGGCTCAGGGAGACTCAGGCCAGAGATATTTCAGGCAACAGATGATGCTGTAGCTCAAGTCCTACCTCCACCACTTACTAGCTTTCACTCAAGCAAGCCACTTTGCCTCCCCAGGCTCCATTCAGTTCCATCATTTAAACCGGGAGTAACCACCCCTGCCTCCTGGGGTTGCTTCAGGGATTGAGAGAGATAGTAGAGATGATGAGCCAGCACGGTGCCTGGCCCAGAGTAGGTGCTCCACGGATGGTTGCTTAAGGGGCAGAAGAGCCAGACAAGAGGCCAGGAGGCAGGCTGACCTTGAGCCAGGCTGGAAGCCCAGCCTCAAAGCTGGAGTCCTTCTATTGGAAGGAGCTGGAAGTGGCATTGTCCAGTGGGAGATGGAAGCTTTGTAGTTTAAGCCATTAGGGGGCCCATATTCAGTCCTACTAGCAGAACTAGATGCTCCACTGCTCCTGGAATTTCCTTTCTTCCCCGGAAGCAAGGAGGCCTCCCAGGGAGGGCAGTGGGCCCTTTCAGAACGAGAAATCAAGGGTATTTCTAACGCAGAGGGCAGACACTACAGAGACATTTACCCTGCTCTTTAGTTCAAATTTTCCAGCTACCTAGGGCCCCTTCCCTGTGAAATTCTCTGGTCAAGCTCTAAGGGTTCCATTTTCCTTTCCAGTTACAGCTGGGCTTCTCAAGGGCCACCCTCTCCCACCGGTGCTTCACTCCTACCCACCAGCCGTGGGAGGAGACTCCATTGCACCAGCCAACTCTGCTTCACTCTTTCTGCAGTTTTATTCAAGGATTAGCTGGGCTTCTCCAAGCAGGGCCTCCATAGAGATCAATAAGGGGGTTGATGTTTAAGTGGCAGGGTAACAGCAGGATGAGACACCCACAGGGAGCTAGTGGGGGCCAGGATGATGCTTCTTCTGATCCTGCTAGTAACAGACGAAAATCAGATGGAGAGGAGCCAGGGGACTGAGCAGGCCATAAGCACACACAGGAAGTGAGTCCGTCATCCGGACCTCTGCCCAGGAGCTCAGACCCACCCTGCCCTTCCCAAGCTGGTGGTCACCTACTCCAACACCAACGACTTCGAGGATGGAGGAGGGGGCAGTCCCAAGAGGAAAGTGACCCATGGTCATTTCTCTTGTCAGTATGGTTACTATAATGGAATCTTACCCTTATGTGAAAATCTTTTGTCAAAAACCCAAAATATCCAACAATAAAGGACTATATCTTTAATTTTGACACGATGTCCCCTTATACAACTTAAGATACGAGATTTTTTGTCACTGTCAAAAACATATACATTTCCAAGGCCTCCACCAGACTGAGTCCAGTACAGCTAGATGGTGCCCAGCTACCACCACTGATTGCTCTGACCAGGATCACAACAGAGGGTTCTGGACAGAGCTGCAGAAGGATGTAGAACATAATTCTAACTCACAAAAAAAAGACCAGATTTACTGGCCTAAAGAAGACTGGAGAAACCCCCGAGTATGGCCCCCAGACACCCTTTTAGCTCAGTGAAGTTATCTCCAAGGTTCACTGTTCAGCCTGGGAGTGGACTAATGAGGTACAGTAGTCCAGTGACAAGGGCCAGAAGGCAGAAGAAGACAAGGAAGCTGGTGATAGGGAACCCAAGGTTGAGTAAGGATACTGGAGTGTTGTGAGATTGTTAACCATTGTCATAGGGCAACATGTGTAGTAACTATTAAATGAGAAACTATTTTGTTCT